CGGTGGCCTAGAAAAATTTGAAGTGGTGGCCTAAAAAACCCATCTTGCAAAAGTTAGGCCACCACTTCAAAATACCTAGGATACGCACCAATGGCATGGGAGGCCATTTCTAGGTCATTTTACCATAATGGCCTAGAAATTCAAACTTGCAAAAGTTAGGCCACCACTTTAAAATGACCTAGAAAACACACCAAAGGTATGGGAGTCCATTTCTAGGTCATTCTACCATAATGGACTAGAAAACCAAATTTGCAAAAGTTAGGCCACCTCTTCGAAATGACCTAGAATACACACCAGGGTCATTTTAGGTCATTTCTAAGCTAAAAAAGGGTGGTGGCCTAGAAAACCAAATTTGCAAAAGTCACCACTTCGAAATGACCTAGAATACACACCAGGGTCATGTTAGGGCAGTTTTAGGTCATTTTGAAGTGGTGGCCCTAACCAAATTTGCAAATTTGCAAAACCAAATTTGCGAAAGTTAGGTCAAAATGGTGGAAAATCAACTGAAAAATATATGTTTGTATGTCTATTTTTGTAAATCCTATTGAACTTTTGCAAGATGGGTTTTCTAGGCCACCACTTCGAAATGGCCTAGAAATGGCCTCCCATGCCTTTGGTGCGTATTCTAGGCCATTTTGCCACGGCGGCCTAACATTTGTAAGTTTGAATTACAGTATTTTTTCAAATTTTTCCATGGATTCAAATTTTCTTTTTTCCATTTTCTTGATTTTTGTTTCAGAGTCTGCACATTCCGTCCATTCTCAATTCTCTACTGTCGATCAAAGTTGCATCGTAGATCATAAAAGTTGTTTGTTTCTCCCCAATTTTTCGAATTTTTATGTAAAAAAACGTGTCAACGAACTTTTTCCTTTCTGTCAGCCGTTATCACAGACACGTAGCCGGGGCTTCTTATCACACCCGAAAACGGAAAATGTGGTGGAAAAAAGTAGAGATCACCACTAGAAAAAGAGCCATTAAAAGATTGGCATCACCAGAAAAAGAGGGAAATTGTATATCGGGATTTTTTATGATCTTTCAAAAGATCAGCAACTATTTTTAGGGATTTGATGAAATCAGAGAATGGAGATTCGCAAAAAGTTTGAAGAACTAAAAGTTCTTTGAAAAATGATTTTTTTTGACGATACGTTCGATGATCGAAAAGTTTCAGATCGCATTTTTCGTAGGGCTGAAAATGGGTAAAATTGATTTTTTCAAAAAAAAAAGGTCCTAAAAATAAAGGTCCTAAAATATAGATAGGGTCGCTCCCTGACAGTCAAGTATGAGTTCGATTATCTTGGTTCCTATCAGAGATATCAAAAAGTAATCAACTGATGAAATGTTGCTGATATTGTGATGAACAATTTATCAGTTGACACATTTCTCATATCTTCATCAAGAACCGAGATAAATTGGCTCAAAGTTGGCTCAAAGATTTTTTTCAGACTCACTTTTTCAGATTTGCTCAAATTCAGAAAATCTGGGAATCGATTAATGTAGTCCAGGATCATTGTGTAGTCACTTCGATTTTTTTGTCGATACGTTCGATGATCGAAAAGTTTCAGATCGGATTTTTCGTAGGGCTGAAAATGGGGAAAATTGATTTTTTCAAAAAAAAAAATTTTTTTGAATTTTTTTTCCTAAATTTCAAAAACTCACACAAACACATGGACCATCAAAAACGGACCCCAACAAATGATCTGTGTACGTTATCCTCCGTCTCATGTTCAAATTAATCACTTGATCCGTGTACAGCGCAGCCAACGCGAATAATCTCTCCTCCTCCTCAATTCCAGACAAATAAGCTGCTGAAAATTTTACTATAATTTTCAATAATCATATTTATTTGAAAATCCGAATTCTTTCAGTCATTTTAAGCCAAAAATCATCAAAACCCGATGAAAATGAGCCAACTTATGATAATTTGAAAATTTTAAATTTTTGGAAAAAATTTCAAAAATGTTTTTTTTTTTTAAATCAAAACTAAAATTTTTAGACATAGTTCTACTCACCTGAGGATTCTGAAAACGACGTCATCCGAGACCTAGAATCTTCCAAAATCGGAAAATCGTCGGGAACTTGAATAAACTGTTGCAATTCCTCCATTCCCATCAAGTTTTCCTCGGATTCTGTCATTAAGTTTCATTTTGGGTCATTTTTACGTTTTTTTGAAATCTAGATGTATTAACTTTCAAAAATGAGAGTTGAAACAGAAAATTGCCAAAAATGTTATTTTAAAAATTCAAAAAATTGGAAAAAAATTTCTAGAACATTTTGGAGCATTTTGAACTTGAAATGCTCCAAAATGGTCACAAAAGAGCCAGAATGCACAATATGCATTTTTTTTTCAGGGATTGTGCCTGAAATGAATAGACTTCGGAGCGAAAAATATGATTTCTGATCATTCCTGTCATTCTGGAATTCGCAAAACATTTTTTTTTAATACTTTATTGAAAAATTACTTTGAAAATCACAAAAAAAATACACCGGTAGAACATGAAAATATGGCAAATAGAATTTGTTTTTAATTTCAAACATTGTTAAAATATAAACAAATCTCTGAATTTATGGGTAAATGAGGTCTTGTACAAACAAATAATTGAAAAAAAAAGAAAAATTCAAAAAAAAAACTTTTTTTCCACAATTTCCCTAATACTGAAATCTTAACATATCCTTCAAAATGGGGTCATCCAACACATCATATACCGTAATCTCAATATATGACGTCACCATTTCATGCACTTCAGCCATCACTATCCCAACAGCCAATAAAATATCGGATGCTCTGAGAAGAGCATCCGAATGACCCTCTTCATCACAAATGAGCAAAAGGGTCCGGAAAATATCGTCACGTTGACGGCTACAAATTTGACGTCCTGTAGTTTGTAGTTTGTAGTAATCTGAAAATGAGGATTATCAGGGAAAAAATGAGAACAAATGAGCCAAAAAAATGGCTAAATTTGGTGATTTTCAGTCATAAATATGTTTAAAAAAGCGCCGAAAATTCTGAAAATCGAAAATTTAGAATTCCGTTAAACTTTTATTTTTGAGATAAAAAATGATTTTAAAAGTCATGGAAATTTCAAAAATTTCTGAATTTTTTGGTATTTTTGAATTTTCGAATTTTCGAATCTCCGAAACGTTCGAATGTTCGAACTCTAGAATTTTAGAATTTTTCGAATTCAAAAACTCACTATGATGCCAAATGGTCAACGCTTTGAATAATGAAAATTCGGTTAGGGACATTTTCAGATTTTTCAGCGGCTCACACACATGCTGCCATTGTCGGATTTTCATTGATGTCAAGGTTCTGAAAAACTATATATTAAAATTGGTTTAAAAATCATGAAAAATGGTTTAAAAATCATGAAAAATGGTTTAAAAATCATGAAAAATGGTTTAAAAATCATGAAAAATGGTTTAAAAATCATGAAAAATGGTTTAAAAATCATGAAAAATGGTTTAAAAATCATGAAAAATGGTTTAAAAATCATGAAAAATGGTTTAAAAATCATGAAAAATGGTTTAAAAATCATGAAAAATGGTTTAAAAATCATGAAAAATGGTTTAAAAATCATGAAAAATGGTTCAAAAATCATGAAAAATGGTTCAAAAATCATGAAAAATGGTTCAAAAATCATGAAAAATGGTTCAAAAATCATGAAAAATGGTTCAAAAATCATGAAAAATGGTTCAAAAATCATGAAAAATGGTTCAAAAATCATGAAAAATGGTTCAAAAATCATGAAAA